TGAGGAACCTTGACAGCAACCGAGTCAACAGTGCGGTCAATCTTGGGATACTCCTCAAAGGGAACGTCCATGATGGCCTTGGTAGCCATCTCAATAAGATCCACCCCCATGACCTTGGAGACGAAGGGGAACGAGCGGGACGCACGAACGTTGCACTCAATGACCTTAATGTCGTTGTCCTTAGCAATGAACTGAATGTTGAAAGGACCAGTGATGTTGAGGGCATCACCAATTTTGCGGGTGGCGTCCTCAATGCGCTGGATAGTGGTGGGCTCAAGGTCCTGGGGAGGGAGAACCAAGGTGGCATCTCCAGAGTGAACACCAGCGTTCTCAACGTGCTCGGAAATGAAGTGACCAACGACTTTGCCGTCCTTGGCCACGGCGTCCATCTCGATCTCCTTGGCGTTCTCAATGTACTTGGTGATAACCACAGGGTGCTCAGGAGAAACAGCTGTGGCCTGCTTCAAGTAGGACTCTAGATCGCCCTCAGAGTAGACCGTATTCATGGCAGCTCCGGACAGAACATATGAGGGGCGGACAAGCACGGGGTAAGTGACCTTGTTGCAGAAGGCCTTCGCCTCCTCGAAGCTTGTGAGTTCCTTCCAGGTAGGCTGATCAACACCAATACGGTCAAGCATGCGGGAGAACTTGTACCGGTTTTCGGCGGAATCGATCATCTCGGGAGAGGTGCCGAGGATCTTGACACCGGCTCTGAAAAGGGGCAAGGCAATATTGTTGGGTCCCTGGCCACCCATAGCACCCAAGACGCCTTGGGAGTTCTCAATTTCATAGATGTCGAGAACAGTCTCCATGGTGGTGGCCTCGAAATAGAGTCTGTCGGCTTCATCGAAATCCTGTGCCACATTTGTTAGTTGATTGAGCACAAATTCAAAGTTAGAAGGGGAATACCCACTGTGCTAACGGTCTCTGGATTACACTGGCGCCAAAAGTTAGTATATAGAGCTCAAATAAGTGCGGGAAGATGCTGTATTGATGTGTGAAGGCATTCACAAGAGGTGTGATGGGTGTGTGGGAAGGGGTACAAATAATGGGAGGGGGCGAAGGGCGGATCATGTACTTACATTGGCCATGATTGTCTTGATACCCGACTCCATAAGTGTGCGAATAGCTCTCACTGAGCACCAATCGAACTCGACGGAAGAACCGATGCGGTACACACCCGAACCCAGCACCATAACACCATGGTCGTTGAATGTAATGTCATGCTCGCTGGCATTGTAAGTCGTATACAGGTAGTTGGTGTAAGCAGGGAACTCGGCGGCGACCGTGTCAATCTGCTTCACAAAAGGAGTGATGCCAGCTTTGGTGCGCACATCACGGACCAACAGTTCAGAGGAACCGACAAAGTCCGCAATCTGGCGATCAGAGAAGCCGAGCTGCTTGGCGCGAAGCAGGGCGTTGGCACTGAGAGACTGGCCCTTGAGACCTTCCATGTGCTTGGCGTAGTCAATCAGACCCATGAGACGGTCGAGGAACCACTTGTCGATCTGGGTGAGCTCCCAGATGCGCTTTACCGAGTACCCATTGTACATGGCGTTGGCAATGGCAAACAGGCGCTGATCAGAGGGAGTCTGCAACTCGTCATCGAGAGAAATGAGAGCGCTCTCTGTTTTGTTGAAGCCAAGGTTATGGAAGTCGATAGAGCGAATGGCCTTCTGGATCGCTTCCTCGAAGGTTCTACCGATGCTCATGACCTCACCAACACTCTTCATGGAAGAGCCGAGCTGAGAGGAAACACGGTTGAACTTCTTCAAGTCCCAACGAGGCATCTTGACCACAACATAGTCAAGAGAGGGCTCGAAGCAGGCACAGGTGACCTTGGTAACTGAGTTCTTGATGTCCTTGAGAGGAATACCAAGACCCAACTTCGCGGCAATGAAGGCAAGGGGGTAGCCGGTGGCCTTGGAAGCGAGAGCCGAGGACCTCGACAATCTAGCGTTGACCTCAATAATGCAGTACTCCTTCGAGAAGGGGTTCAGGGCGTATTGAATGTTGCATTCGCCGACAACACCAAGGTGACGAATGACGTTGACAGCAGTGGTACGAAGCATATTGTAATCCTCGTCCGAGAGTGTCTGAGAAGGAGCCACCACGATGGAATCACCAGTGTGAATACCGAGGGGATCAAAGTTTTCCATGTTGCAGACAGTGATGCAGTTGTCCTGGCAATCTCTGACGACCTCGTACTCGACCTCCTTCCACCCCTTCATACTACGCTCGATGAGCACCTGAGGACTGGCAGCAAAGGCTTTGCTGCACAACTCACGAAGCTCATCTTCGTTGTTGGCAAAGCCACTACCAAGACCGCCGAGGGCGTAGGCCGCACGAACAATGACGGGGAAGCCAATATCCTTGACGACGTGCATAGCCTCCTCGAGGTTGTTGGCCGAGGCAGACTTGGCGCACTTCTCGCCGATGGAGTCCATGCTGCGAGCAAAGAGCTCACGGTCCTCAGTGGTGATGATAGTGTCAATGGGAGTACCGAGAACCTTGACACCAAGAGCCTCAAACTCATCCTTAAGTTGGATACCAACCGACAGAGCGGTCTGGCCACCAAAGGTGCAGTAAATGGCATCAGGCTTCTCGTGGATGATGACCTTGCGAACAAATTCAGCATTTACGGGAAGGAAGTAGACCTTGTCCGCAAGACCCTTGGAAGTCTGAATGGTGGCGATGTTGGGGTTGATGAGGACGGTATAGATGCCTTCCTCCTTCAAGGCCTTGATAGCCTGACTGCCAGAGTAGTCGAACTCGCCGGCCTGGCCAATGCTGAGACCACCGCTGCCAAGAACAAGGACCTTCTTGACGGAAACCCGGGGATGCAGCTTGTTGTTCTCCTCGACAGTACCGCCGGGGAAGTAAACAGGCTTCTGAAGCACACTGTTGTCCTCGGAAGCCTTGACGACGGTTTGGATGAAGACATCAAAGAGGAACTCGGTGTCGCGAGGGCCAGGGGTGCTCTCAGGGTGGAACTGAACACTGAAGTGAGGCTTGTCGACGTGCATGATACCCTCGTTGCTGCCGTCATTGGCGTTCACGAAGAGCTCCTGCCAGCCAGTGGGCAGGGTAGCAGCGTCAACAGCATAACCGTGGTTCTGAGAAGTAATATGGCATTTGCCAGTCACCATGCTGGTGCAGGGGATGTTGTGACCGCGGTTACCAAACTTCAACTTGACTGTCTGCGCACCAGAAGCGCGGGCAAGAAGCTGGTGTCCCAAGCAAATACCAAAGATCGGCGTCTTGTTCTCGGCAAGCGCGGTAGAGATGTGCTTCACAGTATCCTTCATCACAGCCGGATCACCAGGACCGTTCGAGATGAACAAGCCATCGTACTCTTCCTTGGAGAAATCATAGTCCCAGGGGCAGACGAGCACTTCAACACCACGCTTGAGGAAGCATCTTAGCTGGTTGTACTTCATACCGACATCGAGACAGAGGATACGAATCGGGCGCCCGCTGGAGTGCTTGAGGGCTGAAGCCGACGGTGGGCTGTACAGCTTGGGCTTCTTGATGGACACTAAGATATGGTGAGCATGAGTCTGACTTAAGGCATCTTCTGAACTCACCCTCCGCTACGAGATTCTTCTTGTTGGGATCGACCCATTCAAGTTGTTCGAAATATGGCCTCCAGTCCTGACCGGCCTTGTTGAGAGCCGTCAAGTCAGTGAGGCTATCGTTTTGCAACAGCATGCGACCAAGCATGCTACCCTCCTCGCGAATGCGCTTCGTGAGCGCTCTGGTGTCAACGCCATACATGGCGGGGATGCCCTCTTCCTTGAGCCATGCGCCCAACGAAGACGTGGCGAGGTAGTGGGAGTAGTCTTCGCCAGCATAGGTGGCTACAACGAGACCCGCGATGTGAATCTGATGGCTTTCAAAGTGTGCAGGGAGATCTTTCAAAAGATCACACATTGTTTCCCTCGAAGGGACGCCGTAGTTGCCGACAAGCGGGAAGGTGATGACCAGAATCTGGCCACGGTAGGATGGATCTGTCACCGACTCGGGATATCCGACCATGCCAGTCTGGAACACCAGCTCACCGGCGATGCTCTTGGGGGCGCCAAAGCTGTAGCCTTGGTAGACCACGCCATCTTGAAGCTCAAGAGTGACGAGCCTTTCTGTAGAGGTGAGGGGCGCTGTGGCGGGGGCGTAGAGTTTGGCCTCCATTTTGACTGAGGAAAGGTATGGTTCGTAGAGAAGGGAGGAAATTTGGGAGCGAATGTGAGAAGGAGGAGGATGACTTTTGACTCGGAGAGAGAACGGAGGACGGAGGACGCGGCGAAGAGACAGGAGAGTCCCTGGGATGGTGGGGAGCTCGCGTTCAGGGGGGCAAGGAGCTCAAGTGCCGTCAAAGGGCAACAATAGGATGAGAAAGTGGTGGTTTTGAGTGATACCAGAAGAGTCGTCGTTCAAGCAGCGGTCGTCATGCTCTGATTTTGGCAGCTCTTCTGGATAACAAAAGAAAACGAGAAAAGAAAGTGTGGTCAGCAGCTGGGAGGGCAGAATTTTGTATTGAGCTTATGCCCCGCCACATTTCCATACTGCCGTCCAAAACTTTTTGGATTTCCAGGGCGGTGGTGACAAGCTGCTGCGGGGTTCCCTGTGCGGTCAATTGAGTTTGACAGGATTTTCTGTCATTGGCCAATCATGTCCCAGAGAAAGACGTTAGCGCACCAGTTCGTGGTGGGGGTTGCGACGGTCCGATGCAGCGTTCTCCTGGTCTGCCGTTGTCCGATGTTCTGGTTGGCCATTTATTGACTCGCTTGAGATCGGATTTTTCAGTCGCCGATCTCGACTCACACTCTATTGAGTGAGGCATGTTTTTGAGAGATGTCTACATCATCTTCCATATCAGTTTCGTGCAGGACAAAGCTTGTGAAAAAATAGAAGAAATTTCGATTCGAACTAGATACAACTTGACAACTTAATGCAGGTACAAATAGATAACGGAAAAAAGGTTATGTTAAACCTTTGAACTTTGATCCACCCAGGATCGAATCTGGAACCTCCTGGTTCATAGGAAGACGTGCTTCCAATTACACCAACAGACCTTCTATGTTGTGTTGTAGCAGAGGAGTCGAGTTGAGTGCTTAAGAATCTTCCATCTGTGGTGCTCCACTTGTACTTTTTTTTTTGTGGGGTTCGACTGGTGGTGGGGTAGCGAGTTGAAACGGAGCCGAGAGTGTGGGGTAACCGGCGCCGGGCGGGGCTGGTAACGACGGATGCCCCGTACCGGCAGGCCGAGCTATGACATTCTCGGTTTCTCTGTAGTCAGCCAAACCATGATAGTGAACTTACTACTTAGCCATGCGTGGGCAGTCATGACAATAGATTGCCAATGCCAGTACAGCAGCTACTCTGTGGCAGCTCGCCCGGGGTAGCCGTCTGGTATCCAGGATGTTCATCAGACTATCGTGCGGCCTGTTTCCTTTCCATGGAATGTAGCTTGCCGACAATACCATAGTGGAGACCCAGGGCGGCCGGTAGAAAGGGGAACTGAAAATAGAGAGTTCTGCGGGTTTGCTGTCCTTCAAGATAGTTAGGTGAAGGGAAGACTGGCCTTAATGTTCTTGTGACACTGGTGACATTGGATGAGATGGTCCCCACCGCCCGCGGCTCCTAGGCGAGTCAGATGCTGGCTATTTCGGGGCTCCGATGGTGCGTGGCTTTTGACAGAGAGGATGCCACTGGACGCGCAGGATAAAGATCCAACAACCATGGTTGCAGCGTGCAGGTGTTTTGCAGGAGCCCCGCTGTAACCTTGCCCCTCCAACATGGACCCTGAGTTGCTCACGGTGCGGTCATGAGGCCAGCATCTGGGCTCAGATCTGGCGATGGTGACATGTTCTGATGCACGATGATAAGGGAGGGACGAGAATGCGACAAGAAAATGGCACGTGCGAATGTGTTCATGGCGCCAAACTTTCGCATTTCCCTGCCCGTCCTTGGTATGTGTCCTCAACCTGGCTGGCAACGATGCCGGGTGGTGGGAGCGCTGAAGAAGAGAGGCGACCCCCAGACCGCTTAGAGGCAGCTCCTCACGGCAGTCTTGGCGAAGTCCACTTTTGACCCCGCGATTCGTTCTGGCGCTGAAACCGGAACGCGGGTCGCTTCTGCAGTGCGCTCCGAGCTTGCCCATTCGCCAAAGACAACCAGATAGTGGGAAGCGAGTCGGGTCGGGTGGTGCAACCTTGAAAATAGGAGAGAGAGAGAGACGAGACGGGAGGGAGGACACGAGGACAATGCCCTTCTTTTCTATCTTTGACTTTATACTGTTTAACAGAGCTGGGGAACTGGAGTCGAGTCTTGGACGGCTTTGTGGAGATCTGGCAGGGATCAGGCCAGTCCCCGCTGCATGCCCAAGTCCTGACACAACCATATCAGTCCAGAATATCTGGGGGTCGCTTCACGGTATCACCCAATTCCCAGCTGCGGCTTCCTCCCAGGGGCTGTCATTTATACTTTTGGCCACCCAGTCGCGCTCCACGCGTGCCCTTTTTCGTCTTGTCTTTTTGCGACAGTTCAGAGACGGCGCCAAGATGTCTTGTTAGAGCATCCATCTGATCTGAACCGCGACATCTGCCAACCCGGGAGTCTGCATCTGCATTCCTTAGTCACCTGCAGCCTCAACGCTGGTTCACGATTTCAACAAGCCCCTGACGATATATCGCGACCATTCGACTTCCATGGCGTTTGGACGCTGCAAATAACGAGTAGGGCACTTCGAGCCCGAACTGAAGAATGTTGTCCGCTTTGCTGCGACCCTTTGGCAGGGGCGAGAATTCACAGGATGAAAGCCACCGTTCAGATATAGAGCAACGTTTTGCGCCTACCAATCGATTGCATCGCGCTTCGGTCGCTTCACTGGGCGAGTATCGCCAGCACCGCCATGCTGCTGCTGATTTTACTGAGGCCGACGACGACGACGACGAAGAGGACGAATCTCACCATGGTCACGGTCACGGTCACGGACAACCATCCCGCTACCAGGCCGCTGGTGCTCAGACAGAAGAGGATGAGGATGGGCAAAGTCACTCCATCGGTCTGCCTCTGTTCTCACCAGGCCATCTGGGTATGTATATACGGCTATGCTTGGCTTGGGGGGTCGCAATTAACAGATATTCTCAGATTCACTCCCAATTTACAGCATGACCCATGCAATTCGCATCATTGTACAGGCTAGAACCGAAACTACATTAACATGGGATCAGCTGAGATCCCCGCAGGTTTCGCAGTTTCTCATCAGGCCAATGCAGCAACAAATACGGACACAGCACTTTTCTCGAGGAACTCTCTACGCTTTGATGGCCAATTGCTTGCAGTTTGAGAAGGAAGGGCAGCTGTATCCAGGAAATGCCGGAACGAGCAGTACGAGAGCCAAAGTATGTGAGCTGTTGGCGGTCAAATTACTGAAAGAGTACACCACGCGAGAGCTTATCGACGCACTCTCTTACGACTTCTATCCCCTCCAGGGCATCCCGGGGTCTCAAGGCCCGCTTCCTCAGAACGCCAGATCTAGTCCGGCTACTATGCGAACTTCAACGCTCGAGGTTGCGATTCGAGCCTCGGCTAAGCATTTCCTATCCCACCCTTTGGTAGTGATGCAGCTGGAAGCCATCTGGAACGGCGCCATCAGCTTTCACTCTACTGAGGACCAGCTTCGCCATCAGAGCTCTTCCTCGAGTGCTGTTGGGAGTAATCAGTCTCGCCGCCAGAGTACGGCGAGGACGCCGCTCTTGAGCCAGCAACAGCAGGCAAAAGAGGACCATGGACGGGCTCTTGCTCACGTCTCCGGTCGGCGATTTGTGGCCTTGTATGATCCTCGAACCGCTTCATTGTTCAAGCTATCAAGACTACGGGTTCCACGATATCGCCAAATACTCTCGACATGCTCCCTGGCCATCTTGATCGGCTTGTTCTTGGCTGTTCTGAGTCAAAGGTCGAGCAGAATCACCTCTCTGGAATTAATATTCTGGTTTTGGAGTGCTGGCTTTATGCTTGACGAAATCGTTGGTTTCAATGAGCAGGGGCTTTCTCTCTACATCATGAGCTTCTGGAACATCTTCGATCTGGGGATCCTATTGCTTCTAATCGTCTACTATTGCATGCGCATCTATAGCGTCTTCCTCCTCGACCCCCATAGGTGGAATGAGAACGCCTACGACGTCCTCGCTGCCAATGCAGTTCTGCTCTTGCCAAGGATATTCAGCATTCTGGATCACTACCAATATTTTTCACAGCTCCTGATAGCCTTTCGTCTGATGGCAGTCGACTTAGCAGCCGTTTTTGTGCTTATATTGGTGTGCTGCAGTGGCTTTTTTGTCTTCTTCACCCTCTCCAAGAACACCAACGACCCATACGTTCTCGCCTATAAGATCTTCCAGATCCTGATGGGCTTTACACCCGCCGCCTGGGAAGTGTAAGTACAGGCGAATGCTTTGAGTACATATCTGGACCGTACAGCTAACACCTTCGCAGGTGGGACTCGTTTACTTGGATGGGCAAAGCCTTAATGGCCCTGTTTCTTATCATCTGCCATTTTGTCATTGTGTAAGTGGACCACGTCTTTGCTAACTCGAAAAAATACACTTACTTTTTTTTTTTTTTTTTTAAATAGGACAATCCTCATTACTGTCCTGACCAACTCCTTCATGTCTATTGCATCCAACGCAAATGAAGAGCACCAGTTTCTCTTCGCGATCAACACAATATCCATGGTCAAGAACGACACGCTCTTCTCTTATATTGCGCCTGCCAACATTTTTGCATGGGGGTTGATGCCGCTCAGGTACTTCATGTCCCTCAACCAGTTTGTTTGGCTTAATCGCGCCGTGATTAAAGCCACGCATTTCCCTCTGCTATTTTGCATTTTCTTCTACGAAAAATACTTCCTTGCGCCCTACATCTACGAGGCCACTGATCTAGTTGACAACTCTGGCCGAGGACGCCCACATGCGCTTTCTTTGGGCGATCCTTCCACGAGATCAGCATTCTTCAGCCCAAGCGTTCGGGTACGTGAGGAATCGGTGCTTGGTTACCAAAAAGATCGGGCTTTAGAAGAAGTGTTTCGGCGTGTTCCTGATACAGCCACCTTGAGGACGCAAAGAAGAAATGAGAGACGGAAGACCCAAAATGCCATTCGCACCTGGATGGATCAGAATGACGGAGGCTTCCGCTCACCGCAAAACTACTCGACGATTGATAGCAGGATGACCGGTGACTGGCGACGAAGACTAAGTATGAACCGAGAACGACCGTCAAGGTTTCCAAGGCAGTATTCCGATCTCCGTTCTGCTGCCAGCGACCCCGCAGATTTCGTGTCGGACGCCCCTTATCCGATGGCACCTGAGTATTACCATGATGGCGTCAACCGTAGGGACTATGCCCATGAAATGAAAGAAAACACAGATGCGGATGGCGACGACGAGCTTGTTACTAATGACGAAGATGACGAAGACAACGTGACTAACACCGTCGATGGTGGGCACGGGAACGGTGGCGAAGCCACTGAGGAGGATTACTTCACAACACCTATTGCTGGTGGGTTCACCAACAACGAGCCTCCATCAACCGACTCCCCTCGTATTGGCCAGTCAAGGCGCAACGCTTTACACACCCGGACGTTGTCAACCAACACAATTCTCTACGTCCCAGAGGAGAACCATCAGCCGTACAGCTCCTCCTCTGCTTCGATGGGCCGGTCTCCACAGCTACCATCCCGGCGACATACCCCAGTCATGACACCCATCTCAGGAGGCGGCCGGCGTTCCCTCTACATGACCTCTTCCCGGCCCCGACCCACTATCCAGCCCCGCGACATGGCTCTCACAGCACCCACTAGATCAGGCCTCATCCTCGACATCCCCGCCCGAAGACCAGCAACCCAGCATCAGCAGCAACATAATACTCATGACCACCAACACCACCGGCGGCGAAGTTCCTCTGACCTCAACGCCACAGCAACAGTCGACGACGAAGAGGACACCTTCAGCGGGGTGCCATCTAGCTTCGCAACTCAGATGGCCATGGCCACGGCGATGCTGTCAAAGAG